TATACCTACATACATACATAGACGTGCTGTAATATATCTATAGTACATTTGTGGATACAAGAGAACCGCTGAAGCACGAATCGATACAACCGCGTACTTATAGATAGTGGTCCAATAATATTAACCACCACTTCTCCAGTCTTTTCGTCTATAACTGTTCAGATATTCCTACGTTTCCATTCTAGCCGAGTACAGCACTTTTTTACGTGTTCCGTCGACATCGTCACGTCACGATATAATTCGACGTGAGATGGCTAAAAATGATCTCGGGCGATTTATTTCTGTATGACAAAAATTGCTTCGACCTGTTTGACTGTCTTTCGATCCTCTCTTTTCCTCGCGAATAAAATATTATTTCCAGTATCTTTGAAATAATGCATATAATATAATTCAATATTTCTCTTGCGTAATATTTTCTTTTTCTTCGTCTTACGAATGAAAAAGTTTTGCTTGAAACATCGTGTGTATATATATATATGTCTAACAAAATATATGTATATATATATATACACATCAGTGAATAATTTGAAGTACGTTAAGATTTTGAAAAGAAATAACAGCGTTAAATATTTGACTTCTGTTAATTGTGCTTAACGAAAGAAAAGGAACCATCAAAGATATAATATAAACTCCCGAATAAATATTTCATTCGCAGTGCTATCAAGCAGCTACAAAAAGAAAAGTTTTTTTAAATTCAAATATTCGAAATTCTCAGATGCACGTGGTCTGACTATACTGATCACATTTATACACTTATATTTATTACAACTATCATTTTAATGCCCGTTACTGATTATTACATATATAATAATAGATATAATGACTATATCTATATTACATAAGTTTCTATCTCGTCAGAATTGAAAGTGACAACTGAGAGCAAGAAAAATTACAAGCAAAAAAAAAAAAGAAAGACCGACATGATTATTTTCATACCGTGAATTTCTTTCCACGAAAAGTGCAATCTAAAATTAATTGATAATTGATTTAAAAATCTAAAATGTCAATTCGATGGACGTATAAAGGATAATTTCCCGCAGAATCCTTTCGTCACTGTAACGAGCAATTAGTTCGGCCTGCAATTAATCAAGGCGAGTCTCAGCTCTCGAAACACGGAGAAAAGCACACTCGATTTCCATCGCCATTACATCGACGTGACGTTTTCGTCGATTTACTCGAAACGATACACATTCGTTCGTAATTTCAATCTTGTCGGCGCATCGAGAGATGATACGTTAATTACGTTTAGAGCACTATCCCTCTTTGTCGTAACTAATTCACTCCGATACGAACTGCTGTCCTTTAAGATAACGTTCGTTCGACTATCGACTGGCCTAGATCCTTCCCAACGCGATGCTCCCAGCGCGATCATCGTTCAATTATCCATTCTCTGTGCTTTGATTCATCCTCTGTTACATATTCCAATGGGAGTTTCCCTTCTCGAACAATTTTTCCGTCTTCGGTCGTGGAATCTCGTCGGTAGTATGAAAATTGATTAAAAAAAAAAGAAAAAAAAAAAAAAGAAAGAAAAAAGTGGAACGAATTAATTGCTTGAAGTTAAATCTTGCAGCGAAATGGCCAAGACACACGTACAATATTTTTACATTACAAATGTACTTTGAACTCTATGAGCGATGTAAAATCGCAATCAAAACAGAGCAATTTGTGAAATTGTCAGTTCGCTAGTGTTTCCCTTCAGTTGGCATGTCATTGCGCAAAGAAGCTTACGCTAATTAGAATCTCTCTTCTCGGCGAATCTTTTCGTCTGTTCGCCGAAGCATTCCGTAATGGCGCGAAGAATGAATAATTAACAAGCAACTATTTACAAGCTTGCGAGCACGAAGTTCACAGGTCTCGTGCACCGGTGAAATCCCCGCGTCGGGCTAAATTATTTTCAACGTTTCTCCGGTAGATATTAATTAATAACCAAGGCGTAGTAATTACAGTTCGTTTTCCGAATAAATTCATTTCCCTTCGAAAAACCTTCGACGTCTCAACGAGCGAGCAATTGATGCCAAGAAATCACGGAAACTGTGCATAGAGCAATTATTTAAAACGGTTGGAATTAATACTCCACGCCGATTGAATTTCGACGAGTCTCGCGTGTCTGTTAAATTTTTAATTAAATTGAAATCTATATGCCCGATTATGTTGACGTTAATGAGACAATATAATCGAGGACCGGTCAGACTCGGTTGAATTACGCGTTGTACGCAATTTAATAGCGTTTAAACGATTAAATAAAGGATGCACGTGTGAAATGCGCAAATTAAAATGGAAATATCTCGTCCAGACGCTGATGTAGCGAAATTTTTCCGACAAAACGTTTTTTGCGGCGAAACGCGATGCTAAAATTGAAACAAAATAAACGGGGGAGAGATTGTTGTGCAATAGCTGAATGTGCCGATCGTTTTTCAATAACACCGGAAATCACTATGTACGCACGAGTCGAGGACATGGAAACTTTTGTAAAATTTTTTTCTTTTCTAAACAATGAGACGTTATAAATATCGTTTCAAGAGCGTGTATGTGCGGATGAAAAGTAATTCAATGTGACGAGAAAATACGAGGTATACTGAAATCATGGAAATAGAATGTTAAATAGAGTAATATAATGACTGTAATTAAACGACGTTGAATTATTATTCGGTTGGGTAACAAGTTTAATAAATTAAGTACGTGTCGCAAAAGTTATATAAAAAATACAAGTGATCGACGTTTTTGGAGAAAGTCAGTGGAGTTAAGAAATATATATTTATGCGGTGCAATGAATAAATTACCACTTAGCAATAAGTAGATTTTGTTTTTCTTATAACGTTCTGTTCAAACTTGTTCAAAACACGAGATTCCCTCAAACGAGGCAGAATGCAATAAAACACAACGAAGGTAAAATTTATTCGACATCAAACGCTCTTTCTTTATACGACAACTCTAACGAACTCTAACGATCGTTTCTAGCCCGACCAAAAGTAAACAGACCAAACAAATAATAATCTTCGAAGCCTTCTCTACCGTATTGCACGAGCTCGCGTGCAAAATCTGAATTCGTGAAATTTACCAGAGAATCTCTATCGATCGCCGTTATCATTCACCAGGAATCGTGCATCCACTCAGCAACGACGAAAGTGGGTGTCGACCGCCGCCAAAAATCCTGACAGCTAACAAACCTGAACGAGGAAATGAAATACAAACGTGCCGAAAGATTCAAATATCAATTCAGATCCGCGAGTCGAAAAACAGCCGGCCATCTCGAAAGTATTTACATCTCGGTTGAAAAGTGTGACAACAGAGGATTCTGCGAGGGAGAGAGAGGAGGACTCGCGAGTTCATCGATGTCTCCTGGTTTCGTTTCGGAAGGATCGGTAACCGGGTCGCGACGTGGAACAACACTTGAGAAAATTCGAAGGAGAAAATTTCACACACGCCGGGTGGCAAATCGATTAGCCAGGCTTCGCCCACGTTTTTCACTGGCGAGTGGCGCGTGCTGACGAAGAAAGGAATGAAACGAGGATCGAACCCTTTAACAGTAATTTCTGTTGGATTGTAAATTACTTTTAAAAAATTACTTTTATAAATTGTATAAATAGGGTACTTGATTACGTTTTGTACTTACGTATAATATATTGTTTTATATTTATTGGCAGTATATTTGATTGTTGTAGCAAGTTTGATTTGATTTTATCGCAGTAAATTTGATTGGAGGGGGGTTGCTCGAAGATAATCTGAAAATATCTCCAATTTAATTTAGTTTTAAACTAAGTTATAGTTGAGAGTATCGCTGATTTTGTGGATTATAGACGACTATCGTGATTTACATTAGGCTACTAAAATTGAGAAAATTTCGGGAATTGCAATATTAAGTTTAATTCTAAAAATAATCCTATATTTATTAATTTAATTTAGTTCTAAACTGTTACGGCTCAACGATCCAATGATATCAATTCAAAATTACCAATCAAACAGTATCGTTAGGTTACAAATAACTGTACTAATTCATGATTCGATTGCTGAAATTTCCAAAATTTTATTCCATTTCAAGTTGGAAATTTTCGAATGTAACGAGGATTATAGTTCCCATTGGTACTAGTCAAGAGTTACTTAAAAGAGAAGGTTCACGAGCTGATGAATCGAAGGAATACGATTGCCGATCGATCGACATGGTCGACTGGTTTGTACGTGATCGCTGCGAAAGCTGTCAGTCGCAAAGAAAAATCACCGGGCTATCGCGAGGGAAAGAAAAGGGGTGGGGAACGGTTTCTGAGGGATGGACGAATGACGAGGGACATATCGACGAACACGAATGACGATAAACGAAGAAGTCAAAGGTAAAAAACGAAGGGATAGTTTCGAAACGACAGTGGCAAATGTCGAGCGAGGCCGTTCTCGAATCAAGTGACCGGGGACACGCTTGCCTGTTTTGCATCATCATTAAGAATTTTCTACTCCCATTACTCTTACACCATTCGCTCTAGGATCTCTCACTAGATGACAGTAAGAAATATTGCAGAGTGAAGAAAAATGTGAAAGCATTCTTTCCACTTTAGGAGGTTAACGAAGAAATACCGCAGATATTGATTCCTCCCGAGGGACAATTAAACAAATCCGTAATCTGTCTTTGAAACACAGTTCACCTATCTAAGAACACCTATTTGCAGAGTGACCATTGAAATGGCTCCTTCGACCAAACCCCTGAACTTTATCACGTCGATAAAACGAAACTCCTCGGTTTACGACTCAAACCCGAGAGGAAAAGAAGGTGGAGGACATCGAAGAGACAGCTACCTCTTAAGGTAGCTTAGGAAACCGTACAACTTCCCTTCGTCCGAAATTCCTCGCCAGACCAAACTTCCACCACCGAACAAACCAAATATCACCAAAAAAACGAAGGCGAAAAACAAATTAGACGATTAGACGTCGAACGAATATAAAACGGCGGGTGGACGCGGCTGTCCCCAACGAGGACAAGGGGGTTGCTCTCGGCGGAAGGAAACGGTACTCACGATGATTGTTCGTCGGCTGCCTGCTGTAGAACGGGGGCTTGCGCTTCCTCCTCGTTCGCCGATTGCCTCTCGCTCTGCTCTCGAGACCTCGACACCCGACCTCGGCAACGAATTGGAAAAAACGAGCGTGAAACGTGACTTCTCGCGTCCGACGACGACGACGTGAAGGGAAGAGAAAACACACACACCAGGAGGGGGGCGCGTTTCGCGTTTTACAAGCGCATCGTTATACGCCCTGCGACATCGACGACGATGTAGACGGTGGAAAATCTATCGGTGGCACGGGTCTCTCTCTCGAATCGGTGGGACACGAGTGCGCCTGACCGGTGGCGGTGTACGAACATGGCCGACCAAGACGAAATCGATAAAACACGTTACGTTTTCCGCCGTTTCGAACGGACGCCGACGCTCTGCGCCCTTTCCGCCCCCCCCCCCCCGCCCCTTTTCGAAACGGTATATGCGTGCGCCGTAGACGTCGCAGTCGTCGGCCACTATCCCCCGATCATCGGCGCAAACGTTACCCGTAGACGACGATGAGGACGTCACGACGATGAACGAGGGACGCTCCATGCCCTCTACCTCTCGTTCGACACTCCGAATTCGGTCTGAATGATATGTCGATCCGTTTCGGGACTTTTGGTGATTCTCGTTTTTGATTCTTGACACATTCGACTTTTGAATTCGTGGAAACGTGGGATCTTCTTCCGACTCGGTTGGATTTGTTGGATAGGAGTTTGGTTGAATTTCGTTTCACGTCTCTATGTTTTTTTTCGAGCCGTTCTTTTCCTCTTTTTTTTGACAATTTTCCGTGATTTTGTATAGAACGAATATAAAGTTTCATTTGGATTTAAGTGGATTCGACCAAGGTTTGAAATTCAAGTTTGCGTTTGTACAAATACGTACTCCTCTTTACGAGTAATAATACTAGAACTACTGAAGTCAGTACGAGCCTTTATTTAAGTCCTATTTTTTTATTTGCGTCTTTGGTCAAAGTAAAGAAATAGAACATAAAGAAAGATACCTAGATTCTCTATCGAGGTATCTTTCTTAGAGACTTCTCAGAGATGACTGATGTTCTATATATTCCCTTTAACGACAAGACCACAAGTTTCACTGATGCAAATTAAAATGAATGAACCATTTTGTTTCATGTTTGCCGGAGAAATATGTAATACGATACGTGTATAAATTTAAACATCTATTAGTGGAGAATTAAAAATGATAAGAAATCTCTTTTATCTATTTCATATATTTCACATCTGAACATTGCATAGAAATAAAAAATCAACTATACAAAATATCCAATGTAGAATGCCCGTTATAATTCTTAACCCTTAACTAGTATCGTGAAATTATAAATAACTATGTACAGTTGTTTCTAATAAATTGCTAAAATTTAAGGCATTTGATCTTAGCTTTTATCTTAAATTCTTCGTGATAAAAATTTATAATAAAGTAAAATTCCAAAATCAAGCAACGATACCAGTTAAGTACCATAAGAATATAAATTTGCATAAAAGTCTGCAATCTAATAATAATTGTATGTCCGACCCCAAGTTCAAGTATTTTCGCCTAATCAATGTAACAAGGTGTCATAAAATTGAGCATACTTCGGATAAGGGAGTGAGGTGCTTAAAACTTTCGACTGAGCTCATATGGCAATTGAATTCGATTGGGGTTGAACTCGAGGATTGATTTACAACATTTAAGTGAAGTTAAATCGATCAAATAATTGAATATATTATACGCGAAACGCTAAGGTTGCTTAAAGCTTAGATCTGATAGTTTCTGCAAATAGATTTGAAATCAGAGTGATAGACAAAAATTAAGTTTCACCGTTTAATAGATATATATTCAGGAATATTCGAATAAAATATGATAGAAATTTGTCAATATTTAAACATTATGATTTAAATAAGTCGATTTAATTCATTTATTTCATTTAATTATTTTAAATTACTTGATTCAACTATAATTTAATTTAATTATCAAATTACATTTCTATTTCTATTGTGGAAATCAGGAAAAACCCAATACGATTTTCACTCGATCTTTAAAACTGTTGCATATTGCTGGTTTTGTTTAATTTTAATCTCCATTTTCTATGTCGCAAATTCATAAACATGTAAAATCCTACATCTTTCTTTTTTTTTTTTTTCATCGCTATTCATGCTTCGTGGCTATAACAGCGTCGTGTCATTTTTACTTTGTTTTTCTCATCCTTTCCGCGTCAAAGTTACGAAAACGCGATAGAAATTTCATACAAGCCCCGTCATCATTTTGTTCACTTTGTCCGCGATCGTTAGCAACCACTTTCGTAAAAATAAAAATAAAAAAAAAAACCACGCACACGTGTCTTTATTTACTTTCAAACGTTGCCCAACGTTTTATGTCATAAACGAATTACTCGACTGAAAAGCGAAATGCAATTTCCGAGGTTGTTCCCTATCTTCCGCGAAAAAAGAAAAGAAATGAGAAACCATAAGCAATCTAATTAAAATAACGACACTATAAATGTTTATTGACCGCAAAAATCCCTCGAGTGCAATTTCATTTTCAACTTGTTTAAATTTTACACTGGAGAAAAACTTTCGTCTACCAAAGACAAAAAAAAGTAAAAGAAATTAAATTTCTCTGCTTACTAATGTCTTAACAGACAAAGATAAATGGTTACAAAGTTATTATTAATGCACAGTAAAAATCTAATGAAATGAAAATAAAGACAATAAAGAGGGATATTAAGAAACCAAAAAAGTTTCGTGCGTTTTCTTAGAATGAGAATTAAACACATATAGAAAATGTATATTCTCTCATGTATAAAAAAAATCGTAAGCCCCTTTTTTAAACATAAGAATAAAAATCTATCTGCTATTCTAGTTTATTAGAAAATCGTCGATCAAGGAAAAATCCCCAATAAAAGGATATAGATATCACAGGAATATAAGAAGTAAACAGATGGCATCGGTTACTCTGATATTTTAGATTTTTAAAAAATTTTTCAGTTTCCTATATATTTCGAGATTCTGAAGATATTTTTGGTCAAACATTAGGGAAATCCTTACTTCTTACTCATTACATTCTTCTCTTTATTCCTTATATTCTCTTAATATTACAAGGGGAAGATCTCAAACTCAGGAATGTAGAAAATTACGAAACTTTAGGGATCGAAAACTTTCTATAAAGTTTGCTTAACGAAAAATCAAGTTCCGCGGTAAATAAATATCCTGACAAAGAAATAACGAGGCACGACTTACGTTCCCTCAAATATTTTATGCGACTTTAAACACTGGAGGTATGCGAGAACCCGAAATATCGGGTCGACGATCACTGCTTAACTCGATTTTCGTCTACATAACTTTTCTCTACATAAATTTCTATTTAATATACATCAATGCAGTTATAACTTGGAAATTAATATCACGAAAGTGTAAATTTATTTTTAGCCAGTTATAGAT